TTTTCGCAGAGCTGCCATGACGCGTCTCGCTTCCATATAGGATGTGCATTGCGGGGCCGGGTCGCGGAGTTGCACGCCGTGTATAGCTGCACTATCTGTTCCCACGTTACTGTTGTCACAGCGTGTATTGTTGTTGATGAAATCCTGTTGCCGCTGGTGGACGGATCTTGTGCATTTCCGTCCTGTGCAGGCTGGTTCCGCAGGGTGGCTCGGCGGCGCTGGTGGGTCACTCTCCATGTCGTCTGGCTCTGCGCGGGGATGGTGTGGCTTCTCCGTGGTCGTGCTCCACACTATAGGTGTGTCGCGGCGTACATGTGGGTCGAGGGATGGTGCTAGTATCGGGTTGGGGAGACTTGATTTGTGCCGGAGACCGGTGTACGGAGGGTCACTGGGGATCTCGCGGAGGCGTCTGTCTTCCAGAGGCAGCATGGACGACCAGCGACCCTACAAACACGGAGGGGGGTTAAGAACGTTCTTAACTCGTTCTTAGCCCAGCCAAATTGATAAAATTGAATAACCATTAGAACGTTCTTACACCGTTCTAAGAACGTTCTAAGAACGTTCGTAAGGCATCCGTTTATCTTAAAACCATTCTTTGAAATTCTTTAGCATTCTTTGGGGCCCAGCAGTCTTAGGTATTCTCTTCCATTCTTTGGGGTGTTCTTATTCGTTCTTAGACCAACTTAGTGTTAAAGCATACTTAGCTGCTCTTTGGCCGGTTTTAACCATTCTTATCATAGGGTTGCTAAGTATGGCACTCGTTCTTAAGTCTCATTCTTAAGAAATAAAACCACTCTTTACCATTCTTTAGCATTCTTTAGGGCCAGCAGTCTTATGTATTCTTTTCGTTCTTTGGGGTGTTCTTATACATTCTTAGGCCAACTTATTCATTCTTTGCCTAAAGCATACTTAGCTGCTCTTTGGCCGGTTTTAACCGTTCTTACCATAGGTTCGCTAAGTATGGCACTCATTCTTAAGTCATATTCTCAGGAAATTCTTTTTGCTGCTTACATTCTTAAGCCTTAAAAAATGTGGGATTCTTAAGGGTCATGATGAAAATTCAAACACACGTTTCGACCTCTGCATTCTCACATGCACCTCTATTGGTAGGCGCCCTTTATTAGGGTATCCACATGTAGGTTATTCTTACATTGAAATCCATTTCGCGCATTGTATTGGAA